GTGCATTATGTAACAGTTAAACTGCTTACCCTTGTTTGCCCAAATGGTGTTGGTTTCTAAGCAGTCGTATTTAGTCCATCCTAACGTGTGGTAACATCTCATCTGGACACTCATTCACTTTTAATTGAGCTTAAAACAAAACAAAAGGACAGCCCTGACAAACAAAGAGCACTGATCTGCAAGCTGCTGCTGCTGGGCTTTATAGATTATTTTCAGCAGTTAAGATTTCCCTATCTTTTAGTCACAAGTATAATAGAGCTGGATGGAGTTTGACCCATTTGAGATGAGTAATGAATAAAATGCAAACTTGCACCATGCAAAGTACACAAGAGGGTTAACTGTAGTGGCTAAGAGCACAGAAATGCTTCAAGAGATAAACATGAAAATAAAAATAAAGACAGCAGAAAGAGAAAATGTTTACTATTCTCCAATATCTGTTAATTCTGTAATGAGTTTCCAGCTTTTGCAGACATGTCCATTTACATTAAGTTGTAGACCTGAAGTTCATTGTCAGTCTTGTATTTCAGATGTCTCCAAAGATCAGAATCCTCCCAGATGTTTTCATTCTTAGTGCATGGAGCATTAGCAGAATTGGACATCCTCTTGCATGAAAGCTGCATATAAATTCTTGTGCTTATGAAAAGTCAGCAGTTGGGTTGGAAGTGTGAACAGAATATTGAAAAGAAAGCTGAAGCAAAATCAGCGTAATTTTTCTGAATACCATAAATACCTAATAAAGTAGATTTAAGAAGCTTTGAAATGAGATACGAATCCGTAAAGCAGAATGAAAACAATTTTTTATTAATTTTATGTAAATGAAACCCATCTGAAGTCACCCAATGAACAGACTTCAGAATGTGTTCAGAAGTTAATTCTTACTTTCTTGCTTTTTCTGGTTAAGAGAACTGTGTTTCTTGCCATGTGTTTCTGTGTGAGAGCTGAAGTTGCCTGGATTTTAACTCATTCCCCACTTAAAAAAGTTTTAGGTAGTGAGGCAGGTCATACCTAAAAATCTGCAATGAGGAGTATTTTTGGTGATCTGGACTGTCAGAACTGAAGAAAATGTTAGAAGTCATGTAACGTGCTAGATTGAAAATATTTTCATTGGAACTGTGTGACTATTTACAGGTTTTTTTCTCTGTAGTTTATAAATTGTGTTGTGATGTGCACGGGAGTGATTGGGTGTTTAATGGAATTGAGATTTTGTCATGGTAATGACGAACTACAGAAGCCCAGGTTGAAGCTTTCTGCTTTTAATATACTGATCTGTGGAGGCTTGTACTGAGTTACTGAGAAAGAAGAGCAAACAGCTGAAGGTAGAGTGAGTTTGGTAAGGTAAGAGAAGAAAGTCAGTAAATGTCCCTCTTGGAACATAAGGCTAGGATTTGTGAAAGGTTTTACTTCTACACTCCTGAAGTGCTGCATAAATAGATTCTGCATTTGGTTACAGAGATCCCTTTCTTTTAGAATGCTTATTGTGTTCCTGTGAAAAGTTGCTTTAGTGTTTTTAAAGCAAAGAAACCAGCCTGCCTTTCTTTGTGGAGCAGCCTGTGAGAGGCACAGGAGGGGAAGGAGGTGGTTCTTGATTCACCTTGCAAGCCTTGCTGCAGGCTGGAGCTGGCACCTTGGGCTCCCTTTTGCCTGTAAACACCAAGCAGTTTTATTTGAAAATCCATAGACATGAAGCAAATGGATTGGAGGTGGGAGCCCTGATTTGATGGTGTGGTTATGTAAGGTTTCAGGCAGCACAGATGCCAGCACCATCCCAGCACAAATCTGTGGTGCAGACTGGGCTAAATCAGCATCTGGCCTGTGTGCAGGGAGGGCTTGATGCTTTCATGAAGTGGAGCTCCATATTGTTCCTTCTTTGAGCCAAAGGAAAAACAACTTCTGGACACAGAGAAGAATTAAATTGAGGGAGTGTAATGGATCCTGTCATAAAAGTGGTATTTGAGACCTTCTTTGTTTCTTCCCAGTTTGTGTGAGCTGTTTGGTGTTTTCCTGTGCACCCAAAAAGAAGAATGTTCTTAAAAATAGAAGCAAAGCAAAAAAAAAAGTTATTCTAGGTCACCTTTTCCAGCTGACTTTATGTAGTAAAAGGATGATCTGATAAGGTTTTGATTTGTTTTTTTTTGTTCTTTATACAGAACTTAATGTATTTTTCTCTTCAGTGTATTGAGTTACTGTACAAGTATGTCCACAAGATACACAGCACGCTGTCTAAACTGATCAACTGGAATTTGTTTGAAGTTTTGTGGGTTTTAGTTTCTTGTCTGCTGGTGCTTTTTGGACATGAAGGCATGCACCTGCACTCCACAGTCAGTGTGTTGCTATTTCTCTGTCACAGGAGGCGCTCTGTGATTCAGCTGCTCCTCTGGGAGGAATCTAAAATAACAAGTTGACTTGAAAACAGAGTCAAAGAAGTAATTGGGAAAAAATGTAATAAGCTTCAAACTGCTGTGGCTGGATGGTGATGCTGTATCATCAGTAAATTACAGAATCACAGGATGGTCTGAGTTGGGAGGGACCTTAAAGCTCATCCTGTTCCAATCCCCTGCCATGGCTGGGGACACCTCCCACTGTTCCTGTTGCTCCAAGCCTTGAACACTGCCAGGGATTGCCAGGGCCTCCCACCCTCACAGGGAACAATTTATTCTTGATACCCAATCTAAACCTACTCCTTTTCAATGTGAAGCCATTTCCTTTTGTCCTGTCACTGCAGTTCCTGATGTGAACAAATGGGATGGGTCTGGTGTCTGTGACCTGCAGCTCTGCTCCCACCAGAGCCACCTGTGGGAGTTACCATGGTGGGTAGAACTGGAGGTCAGATCAAGTAAAAAACAGTAAAAAAACCCCAATGCTGAATTTCCTCCCTGTACTTGATGTTAGCAGAGCTGTCAAGGAAGAGAAATTGTGTTGCTCTGTTGAGCCTTTTTATATTCTTTACTTCATAATAACCCGAGGCCTTGTGTTCAGAGGTGGTGAGCTCATATCTCAGAGGCTTTCAGAGCTGCACATACCCATCCTCTCTAAGAATTATGTCTGAGAGCATCTGCTTTTTAAGTGGCACAGAAGATGATTGCAGCTAAAAAGCTGATCTTGTGATATGGATGAAAGCTTTCCTGTAAGGTGGGATGTCCTGAGCTATTTTGTTTCCTGAGTGGTATCTCGGTTCTTGTTTAGATTGCAGCTCAAGTTGGAAAGGGGCTGGCTGCAAAAACAATCTCCTTTCCCAGTCTTAATAGCACTAAAACAGATGATGTCTTGTTTTCCTGCCCCATCCCAAATGGGGGTTGGGATTTGTCTGCAGTGGGAACTGTTTTATTTTAGGCCTTACAAAGCAGGGCAGGGAAAGAAACCATTTCCAGTTCCACATACCCATCACAGACTGTTTATGGATTTGATGGGAAGCATCACCTACTCCAACCAAACCAGCTTCTCCTTCAGTAGGAATTGTTCTCAAGCATTGGAGCATTGGGACAGCCACTTTTGGTGGTCCTTGGTGACAGGGCAGGTGCATGGGCAGTGTGCTCCTGCCTTCTCTGTTCTGAAAACTCTGTTCAACTCTCCCGTGTTTCTAACTACAAAACATTAATTCCTAAAAAACCTCTACTGTTTCTAGAGAGAAGAAACTTATTAAGAAAGTAATTAAAAACTTTATTTTGGGAATTGAAGGAAAAGCTTTGACCCAATGGAATAGATAAATCTAGTGTCTAGTGTGCTCTTACAGGAGGTGCTTTGGCAAAGTAGAGAAACTTTTTTTCCTTAAAATTCCCAAAAAGTCTTCCTTGCAAAGTCACCTTTAATAAAATCAAGTTAACTTTGTATTCTGGTGTATATATGTATTTTTCACTTACTGTATTCTCCTGTGTATGTATATTCTCCTGTATATATACATTTTTCACTTTGTCACAGATATGGGACAGCTCCTTTTTTCCCCATTATAAATGGGCATGGACATCTGTCAGGAATGGTGGAGGGGAAGCAGCAGGAAATGTGATTGCCTTTCCAGCACATTGCTCAGTGTGACACAGCTTTATGATGTAGAGGTGGGAGTGAAGTGCTGTGCAGGCTGCTCAGAGCAGTGCTGTGGAACCTGAGCTTTATGAGAGAGCTTTCTGTGTTCCTGCTTGCTCCTGGCCTTCCATGCAGCATAAATATGGATTGCTATGGAAAAGGATCGTGCTGCCCTCTCCTCTGGGCCAGCCATGCGATAGCCCCTCATTCATGCAGCCACCTGATCTGCTCCATAGATCACTTGAGCTCTTGGAAAAAACCCATGGGCAGTGCTGGAGTCCTCAGGAGCAGAGTAGGAGTAAGGCTGGCAAATTTCAGTAGAAGGTTCAGCTGTGCCTTAGAGCAAGGTGTGTGTGAAGGTATTTCAGTGGAGAATGTACTAACTCATGGAACACTGGCTCATTGGGGAGCAGCTATTAACTAATTTTTAGCTTTAGGTCTAGTTTTGAATTTAATCCTGTTGTGAGTTTTAGTTTCCTAGGCTCTGGGTGGTTCTGTTAGCTGAGAGAGTGGCAAAATGATAAATAAGTGTCAGTCAAGTGATGTGACAAGTTTGTATTTAATGTTGAGTTTTTCATGCTGGGTAACTATTCTGGGGTAAGAGAGGAAATGCTGTGTACGTTTGTCTGTTTGTCCTTTATCTACCTGCCTCACCCTTTCCCTCTATTATGCTCTACACAAAGCTTTTTCTGCCTTCCCCATCCAGAGTTTCAGATTGCAGTCAGAGTGTTCAGGGATGTTTTGGTGTGAACTTGTTGCTTGGATTTACTTCTTGTACTTCAGCAGATTGACCACTTGTGTAGCCACTGTTTTTTAATAAATATTGGTTTATTTTAACCAGTCTCTCGTGGCCTCAGCAGGTCATGACTGGGTTTAACTGAGTAAATTGGGATTAGAATAGGTGTGGCATTTAATAATTAACTTTCTGGTTACTCAGGTCCAGTAGGAAACGTGTAATGAGTCTGTTTTCATTTTGTTTACAGGAATAGTTATCTGCTTAGTCTCATCCTTCATATTCAGCAATCTGAAGAAAAGGTCTGAGCCAGCATGAAGACAGAATCCCCTCTTCATTAGAGAAAAAGTGAGTTAGAATTGAGTTGAAATCTGAATTTGTAACATGAAAACACTCTCTTAGCCTGCCAACACACACAGCTTGTGCTTGCTTTCAAGTGGCATTTTCACTTTGTAACACCACTGGTATGGGTGATGTCCAGTCAAGACCTAGTCTTGGTTAAGCACATTTCTAAAATTTTCATATTGTAAGTATTCAATGTAAATTCCAACACCCTCCTTTTCTGACAGAACTGCTTACTCACTGTGTAACTGCCCACCTGATACACTCTGTCCTTCCAAATCCTCTGAGGTCTGGTACAGGACCTAGGCTTTGTGTTCCTTTTCTTGTACTGCTGGATTCATACTGAATTTTATTTTGATAATTTAATATTTATAACTTGTTTCTGTAGCTGTACTGGTCATTGCCCCAGTATTCTCAGTGCTTAATGGGTATTCTGAATTTGTTGGGAATTGCAAATTTGAAGGGTTTCAGAAATGTAGGACTCATTTTTGCACTAGTAAATCCCGAATTTTGCATGTAAATGCCGGTAGTGATTTTACTCCCCTCAGATGTTGTAATAATAACAAATAAAAAAGACTGCCTGTTAGGCCAGCCTGATTTTTATATCCACGGGGTTAAATAATTTGTTTTTGTTGTTTTGAACAGCTCCTTTGCTGGCTCTGTGTACTGATGGTGTGTTCTGACCCCTCAGCTTTCTGCTCGCCGCAGTTCATTTCAAGGAGTGCACGATGACAGAGCGTGGAATTAAATGGGCCTGTGAGTATTGTACATATGAGAATTGGCCTTCTGCAATCAAGTGCACCATGTGTCGTGCCCAGAGACCCAGTGGAACAATTATCACAGAAGATCCTTTCAAAAGTGGCTCCAGTGACATCGGGAGGGACTGGGATCCTTCGAGCACTGAAGGAGGGAGCAGTCCTTTGATCTGCCCAGATTCCAGTGCAAGACCCAGGGTTAAATCCTCCTACAGCATGGAAAGTGCAAATAAATGGTCGTGCCACATGTGCACGTACTTGAACTGGCCCAGGGCTATCAGGTGTACCCAGTGCTTGTCCCAGCGCAGGACCAGGAGCCCCACGGAGTCCCCTCAGTCCTCGGGCTCCGGCTCCAGGCCCGTCCCTTTGGCCGTGGATCCGTGTGAGGAGTACAATGACAGAAACAAACTGAACACGAGGGCTCAGCACTGGACTTGTTCTGTTTGTACATATGAAAACTGGGCCAAGGCCAGGAAATGTGTTGTGTGTGACCACCCCAGACCCAACAACATCGAAGCAATAGAACTGGCAGACACAGAAGAGGCTTCTTCCATCATAAACGAGCAAGACAGGGCTCGGTGGAGAGGCAGCTCCAGCAGTGGTAATAGCCAAAGAAGATCTCCACCAACAACCAAACGTGAATCTGATGTGAAAATGGACTTCCAAAGAATTGAATTGGCTGGAGCTGTTGGCAGCAAGGAGGAGCTTGAAGTTGACTTCAAAAAACTAAAGCAAATAAAAAATAGAATGAAAAAGACTGACTGGCTGTTCCTAAATGCTTGTGTGGGTAAGTTGTTTACTGCTACCTTCTGCTCTTGTGCTGGCGGTTAAATATTTTGGGGCAATGAAGAATTAAAACAGAAACTTGGCATTTGATTTCAAACCAGCTTTTTTTATCCCTGTCTTTCCATTTAAAAAAGTAAGCCAAATGTAGAGGTTCCTGAAATAGCACCTGCTGAGAGAGGCTGTGAAGTTCATCCATAATCTGAACAGGGTTAGACGTGTCTCTCAAGTGCACTTGGACTTTTCTGACCTTTTGTAGAAATGGATATTCTTGTAACCAAATCCTGTTATTCCATGTAATTGTCAAAAGGTGGAAAAATTACAAAGCCAATCTATAGAACATGAGTGCAGATAGTGCTGTAAAAATGCCATTAATGGATAATTAAAATTACTTTTCTTTCTGCTATAGCAAGACATGCTCTGAGAGTCAGCAGCTGCAGCTTGGGAGTATTTGTAAACAGTGTAGAGCTTGCAACAGTACAAGATGCTCTGTCAGATGTTAAAAATAACACCAAAATATGTAGCTCCAAGAAACTGCATGTGTAATACTGACCTTGAAAGTAATAATGTTGTATTAATACACACACTGTGTTGTAAATGTTTACAGGCTTTCTGAAAGTATTTTTGAAGTCAGCTGCTTCAAAAAACATTCAAATACCAGTTTTGTTTTGTATTTTAGTGCTTTGCTGAGGAAATGCTGGATAATTCTGGCAGTGCTGTTAAAGAACAGAGCCATGTGAGAGCAGGGTTTTCTGCAGTTTTTGACCTTGTGAGTGAACTCCTGTGCTGTGGCTTCCCAGAAGCAGACATCGTGTGCCCCAGCATACGAGCAGCTTCAACACTTGAAATATGCAACTATTTTTAGAGTAAAACACTTCATTTGAAACTCTGGCTCCGCTAGTGTGGCTCATGCTGTTCCTTAATGTTTCACAAAGTCACTTCATGGTTGTTGTAATCAAAGAGCTAATTAGTGGAGCTGCTTTGTTTAACATATTTGATCAGGTGGAAATGTTTTTGTGGGTATGCTGTGTTTGGTTTCTCTGAGCTAATAAATATTCTAGTTTATTTTTGTGTTGTGTGAGTAGTTAGACATGCTCACTTCCTTTTGGAAAGAGATGCCTCAGTATTTCCTGATACCTCCAGTTTCCTTACAGCCTTTATTCCTTCTGAAATGAAGCAGTTGAAATTCTGCATGATATTTTTTAAGTTATTGAGTGCCAAGGGTCAGTTGTTGGAGGTTGTTCCTATGCCTTACAAGGGCATTTATCTTGCATTCTGAAAACAATTGTACTAAATATTTGGCTATTTTTTCCCTTTGGTTTTTCAAAAGTGATTTTTTTTTTTAGTATTCTAATGTTACTTAAAATATTTCCCACTTTCTGATTTATCCTGTGTGGGAAGGGTTGTATTTATATTTAAGAACGTGGGTTTGCAAGTATTTAATGTTGCTTGTGACTATATAGTTGTACATAAAACCCAAAACCATGTTCACAGAAGTTTTGTAATGCAATAATGATTTGGTCTGAAGGGATCTTGGTGAGAAAAGCAGAATGCAGGTGGAGTTGTGTGCTGGTTGTTGCTGCTGCCTGCTGAAAGCTTTCATGGGTTTCTTTCTCTGCCTTAAACACCTCCTGTATTCCTGGGGAGAGGGATGATGGGGGCACAGGAACAGCAGACAAAGCTGGTAATGATCTGTCCTTCAGCTCAGATTTTCATTTTGCATGTTGCAGATATAATTTATTTCCCCCACAATTACTCATTCTAATAGGAATAACCTTAGGAAGATTGATGGAGGTTGCATGGATTCTCTTGTGCAGTGGATCTGTGCTGCAAGAGCACACCAGTTCAGCCAGTAACCATTAAAGCAATAAGCTGAATTTCTGCTTGTGATCTTAGTGTAACTTACCTAAACCAGTTTAACTGTCAATTGAACAATTTTGCCCAAAGCATCTGTTTTTACCATTGAAATCCAGTGGGTCACTGTTACTTAGTGAGTTCTGTTTGTTTGCCAGCTGGAACTCCTGGGAAGTTGTAGCTGAGCTGAACACTTGTCAGTCCATGGCCAAACAAAATTATAAACCAGGACAAGTTCCTGTTAAATACCAAGTAAATTTGTGAACATTGATGACCAGAGTTTGTGTGTTACCCTGCTCCATCTGACAGATGGTGCCTAACAAGGATTTGGGGGCTTCAGACTGAAACCTGAAAGTTTAAGATCAGTTCTGGAGGGTCCATTAGCTTTGAATCCATCTTTTGTAGGAGAGATGTTAAAATGTTAACATTTAAAGTTAGCCCTGAAGTTAAAAATAACGATTAAAGGAGTGGGAGGCATTCTTGGCAGAGTGGTTATTTTCTTTTCTCTGAGAAGATATTATCTGTCAGAAGGTACCAAGGAAAATGTCTGATACTTCAGGACAGCTGTTTGGTTGCACTCCCTCTTCACATCTCAACTCCAGTACAAAATTCTTTTTACTAGATTTTAAATTGAATGTCAAGTTTCATTAAAAAACATGTATCAGATTAGTCTTTACCACATCTGTTCTTTTTAGCTGAAACATGGAGAGATGTGTATAAAGTAGATTTAAGAAGAGGTGTTTGTATTTGTTTTGTTTTGTTGGAGGCATCCATTAATGTTTTTCCCACCTTGGTAAGTAAATGTGTCATCAAGGCTTCTGTTCCTTGCAAATCCAGGCTGGACAAAATGTGAGGAGTGCAGCTCTTGCCTTTCAGCATGAATAGTTTCCTTGATGGAGGGAACTCCTTCCAAATCAGAAGGATTAATGGTATTCCCCCATTCAAACTCTGCCAGCAAATGTACTTGAATGTTGCTTTTTTATTGACTTGTTTTTTTTCAGAGTGAGTGTATCTGCTGGGTGATTCTTTCTCAGCAAGATGAGATTTTAGACTGATTCATGTGGTGAAAATTGATTAAAATCCTAGCAGAAACTGGAGTAAGTGTGGCTTACTGGCTTCCTCCAGATGCCAATTTCAATTCCAAAGAGGAATTACAAATGGTTTCTGCAGTGACACCAATGTTTGCTACCAGAGTGGCCTAGAACAAGATTAATGTGGAGTCTAAGGTGACTCATTTCTTAGGGGAGGGAACTGATGTGCACATAAATTAAACTTTATGACCTTTTCTGTAAGTTATGGCACCTGTGACAGAGGCTGTCAGGCAGCCCTGGTGGCACTGACAGAATGTGCTGTGAGCATCAGTTCTGTGGGGCCTGCTGAAGCTGCTTGCAGCTGGCTGTGGGTTTAAGGAGTGCAGATGATGAGGATGGCTGTGAAACCTCTGTGGCATCCAGAGTTTGCTTGGGGGTTACCCTGGAGCTTCCATCTGCTGGCACCCCAGGGCTGCCTTTGTCAGTGGTGCTGGCACAGGTGTTTGCTGCAGGGCACTGCTGGGGATTCCTGAGGTGGGAGTTACTAGGTAGAAGTGAACTGCATTTCTTCCCCTTTTCCTTTCTGCTCCCCTGTTTGTCACCTGCTGCCAGAGTGTGTTCTTCTCTCGGTTCAGGTCAGGTGGGTATTGCTGTGACAGAGCTCCCTGTGGGGATGGTGCACACATTCTCAGCTCTGTGAAAGAAACCACTAAGAGTGTTTCTTAAACAAATCCAGAGTATTTAGAGCAATCTGTGCTGAATCTTGTTTTGCAGTACATCCTTAAAAGGACTGTAAGTTCATTCCTAGTATTCCTATTTATGTCTGCTTAGTTTTTCCTTTGTCAACAGTTGTATCTCTCCATTAGATTTTTGAATTAGTGCCAGGTACGTTACCCAGGCCTTCAGGAACCCTGTGGGCAGGGAGAGTCTCCCTGGCCAGACACTGGTATGGGGTTGTTGGGCTGAGTCCCACACTGAGACACTGAGGCACCTCCTGCTCTGTGTCCTGCAGGGCCTCTGCCTCTTCTCTGAGTGCTCATAAAGGGAGGTGGCATGAGCAGGGTGCTTTCAGCTGGCACTGCCACCCAGAGCCATCCCAGGTGCCCCTCGCTGCCCTCCTGGCTGTTTGACAATGCAGCTGGGTTAGGGGATGTTCTGGTGGGGGTTTGTTTCTCTTTGCCGGTGTTGTGAGTTCAGACTGACCTCCTGTCACATCCAGGGTACAGCTGGACCTTGGTGCTTTTGTTCCTGCTGTGCAGTGAGGGTGGGAACAGGCTGGGCAGCTCTCCTTGCTGCTGGAGCTGCTCAGGGAAGGGCAGCAGGGATCTGTCCCTCACTGCCAGGCTGTGCCTGGGGGGGCTGAGGGGGGAGAGTCCCTGGGGGCAGTGGGACAGCCCAGGCTCCCTCCCTGGGCCAGGCTGGGCTGCTGGGCCAGGTGCCAGTGATGGGAGATCCCAGCTCTCACCTGGCTGGGAGAGCTCTGGGTAATGTCACCTGTGCCTTGGACAGCTGTCCTGTCAGAAATGCTGTACACATCTGTGATAAAACATCTGTGCACCTCTTTGAGACTGAGAACTCTGCCTGCCTTGCTCCCTGGCACAAAATCATAACTCCTTTTCTTAAACACTGTGATATTTTATACTGCAAAGAATTGAATAAATGATCAAGTTAAAACCAGTTATTTCAATTTCCCTTAGAAGCACTGATGGTTAACTTTAATAATTAACTTTAATGATTTTCCACTGTCCAGCCTCCCTTTGTGGTACAACCCTGCAAGTAACAAGGGGTGTGACAGATTGGAGAGTGATATATGGACATCTTTAAACAGTTGTTCTTACATCTGTGCTGCTTTGTCTTGTGATGATACATTCAAAACATACTCTAGGGGTGTATGTAGGGAGAAGAGCTGTTTGCATGGAACAAAGAATAACCAATATTTATGCTCTCCTGCATTGAATGGCTTCAGGTTTTAGGTACGTGTCTTCTTGGAAGTATTTACTTCTCTTTTCTTTAGCTGATGCAAGGTGCTGAGCTTGAAGAATCAAAAAAATCTTAAGATACAGAAGTTTCTGTCTCTGTCATTACCTGGAGAGTGACCTACTGTTGATTATGTACTAAT